TGGGTCTGTGACCCAATGATTGACTATTGGACGATATTTGTTTTCAAACCAATCCACAAAGCTGCTATCACAAGGGTACTTCTTTGGAATGTCCTTGCGATCACGGATGTGTATTCAATGAAGCTCAACTGCATTTATTTCTGGTGGCAGATCAATTAGATGTCGGCCTGGTTCAACCATATCGTGAACAGCATTGAAGTGTTCATTTACAGACATGAAAGTATTGTCTACCCATGTTAAAGGTGTATTGCGACCAGTGCATTTGTGAAGAGGTCGGTGAAGCACCAGTTCTACAGGTCCACTCATTGCTGCTCCATTCCATTTGGATCCCCTTCGCTTATTACGAAGGTATATCTGTGGGCTAACATTGATGTCCTCATTAGGTATCCATATGTCACCTAAGTATGCTCGCAGGGGATGTCCTCTGTGGAGTGTATGCACATGCAAGAATGACTTTTGCATAAAGTGGTCAATCTGTATTTTAATTGGCAGTAAGCCTGCCATCATGTCCAAAGCACCAATAGGTGTTGATTTAAAGCCACCTGTGATCCAACGGGCAGCTTGTGATTGTGTGTGCTGCAATTCATCAGCTACACCTTTTTTGCTTTTCCATTTTGGATGGTACCACAGTTGAGCACCATAGCACATGACTGGCACTACATTTGCAATGTATAGCCTTCGTTTATCCTGTGGAGACATACTCCAAACTGAGTTACCCAGCATACGCAGTGAGTTAACAGTGCTGCATGCTTTGGTGGCACAATATTGCACATGTTCTTTGAAGGTGAGCTTTGGATCAAGGTAAAAACCTAAGTATTGCACAATTGCCTTTGGCCAAAGAAGAAATTCTGTGCCTGGGGCATAAATTCTTACAGGTGGGCCCAAAGGATCATCACCTATCAATTCACACCATGGTTTCCTGCTGTTGCGAAAGTACATCAATTCAGTTTTGTCTGCTTCAATGCCCAGACCAAATCTAGCCAGAGTGCAGTTTAAAATCTTAGCAATCAAGGTCAGCTTCTCAGAGTTGACCTCAGCCATAGTGCAATGTGCTGGCACTTCAGTATTATGTGAGAACACATGAATGAACCCATCGTCCACAAAAAATTGAAGAGTCACCCCTGAAATGTGCTCATTTATTTTGTGCTCAGCTATTTTAATAGCCTGTGCAATATACAGGTTGGCAAGTGCTGGTGACAATGCTGACCTTTGTTGCACACCTATGGTAAATGCAGCTGGAGGTGTTTCTGTTCCATTGAATAAGAACATAGTTTCTCTGTCCATAAGATAATCATGGAAAAAGCTAATTACTGTTTCATGAAATCCCTGTTTCTCTAAGACACAAAGGAGGAGTTCATGATTAATTGAAGGAAAAAACTGCGCAACATCTACGAGAAGTGCTGCTGAGTCCATTCCTTGATTCCAACATTCTTTAATAGTATGGACAAGTGCCATACCTGCATCAGTAGTGGCATGTTGCATCATGCCACCATATTGGCCAGCATGTGTGATGCCATGTTTTTGGGCAGCATACTGCATGTACTGTGCTAAAACCTTTTCAAATAGTTTTCCTATACATTTAAGTAGGCAGTTAGGCCTGTATGCCTTTGGTAGACCATAGTCAGGATGTTTGGGTTTAGGTAACACAACTGTGCGTGATTCTTTAAACCATTCTGGCTAGGTGCCCAAAGCAAGGCAAGCCTGGAAAAATATCCGAACACAGCACAGCACAGAAAATTGTGCACGAACTATATTCCCATCATCATTGACAATTTCATTGTCATCATCTAAGATGTGCTTCAGCCAGAACCAGTCAACATGATCTGGGCCTGGTGCAGAGAAGTTACTGGCTTGAGCAAGTGCCTCAACCAGCAGCATGTCAGAAATTAGTGGCATGTCCTGGGCAGGCATGTCTGGCATTTCATCTATGATTGAATGGTCAACAGGCTTTCCTTCTGATGGTGTGAACTGTTCTTGCAATATTTTTGCAATCTCATCTGGTTGTAATACTGGATTACCATTTTTGTCTCGCAGAGAAACATTGGCTGTTTGCTGCCTAGGTTGTGTCCGGGGTACCACATCCCAGATGCTTGTTTTATGCAAGCATGCAATTTGGCTGTCAAAAAATTCTATCAAGGGTGTTATTGGACAAAAATAAATTCTCACTTTCACACCGGCTACAAATTTTTGTTTTCGATGTGTGTCTAAGGTTATGCGTGCGTATTCGTGCACTTTTGTGTGTATTCGTGCACGATGATGTGTGTTTGGTCACTAACATGCGCTAACATGCATGAAAGCTCACATTTGTGCACCTTCGTGCACTTTTGCACATGAAAGTGTGCATTTGATGAACTACATATTCATGTTATCACAAATTCATTTTCGCTAGACGTTTACTTTCGTGCACCTTCGCGCACTTCCGAGCACTCGAAGATTCAAATGAGATGCATAATCACAAAAATGAAAACCAATTGTCAGCTTACACAAAACTGAATAATAAGTTAAGTGCACAAATGCGCACAAATGCGCACAAACATGCACAAACATGCACAAATGCACACACATTAGCGCCATTGCCAATCTCAAATCAGGGCGTAACCAAAACCAAAGCTCAGCGACATGCATGATCGTGTGCGTTTGTGCGCTTTTGTGTGCGATCGTGTACGTTCGTCTACTTTTGTGCACAATCATATACGTTTGCCCACTTTTGTGCACAATCATATACGTTCGCCCACTTTTGTGCACAATCATGTACGTTTGCCCACTTTGGTGCACAATCATGTACGTTCGCCCACTTTTGTGAGCTTTCGTGCACATTTGTGCGCATTCGTTTACATTTGCGCACCCTTGTCCACCAAACTGTGAGTACAGTCTGCACAATTCCAAACTCATTTTTTTTGTCAGCACCTTCATAGAATTCAGCTTAGCCTTTCGGATAGCACCTTTTTT